AATAATGATACTACTAATAATAATGATGATGATGATGATGATGATGACGATGATGATGATGATGATACTAATAATAATAATAACGATGATGATAATAATGATACTAATAATAATAATAACGATGATGATAATGATAGTTATGCCCGACCTGTGATCTCCTGCTTGTCGTCGTGCTTGGCCTTGAAGTGCCTCACCATGGACGAGGTGTTGTTATTGTAGGCCAGCTGCTGGAAACACAGCGAACACTGGACCTGAGGAAGCAGCAACACGCATGTTTTGTCAGACATGTCACGCTGAACGGTGACTACAAACACATCGTGGAGATGAAGACGGGTGTTCGGGTCAAACTGGCGGCGCGTTACGTAGTTTTACTCGCGTTACACAAACGACTAGGAGTAAGTCCACACCTACCTTATTAGGACCGATGAGCTGGAAGTGTTCCCACATTTGAGAGCGGTTTCTTTTCCTGGCTGATGTGACGGTGGTGAAGAAACAAACAAACGCAGTGATGTAATAACGACAACTGCACACTCAAACTACACAAACATAAACTTTGTGCATTATGTTGGTGCGTTTACGCAACAACAAACTTCTGAAGTGTGAGCACCAAGGCGACTGGTTTGAACCGCTCACGTGATTCACTCAGGGAACCGGAGCAACATTATTGATCTTCTTCCACACTAGAGCTATTACTGATGCCAGTTTTTGTTTTTAACACCAATGGTTATGGAAATATTTGTGTCTCATGTTGCGGTGGGGACTACTTCTTGGATTATACGAGTCCCTTGTGCTTCCCTAAAGGTTGTGTGAAACAGCAGAAACTCAAGAGTTGAGCTGGGCTGCCAGGTGATAAAACAGGTTTGAGTTATTAACATGTCTGCTTCAGACTCTGCTGTTCGCTTCAGCATGAAGTTTACTGACTCACACGTGCACGTCTGCGTTGCACTCAAATATAAATCGGATGACCCCGATCATGGACATGTTTGATAACAGCTGGGATCATTCAGAATTAGCATAATAAAGCACGAATATTTACCACTTCTCCTAAAAGGTCTCTGTTCTCAGTGGTAGCTGACCTCTGACCTCTCTGCAGCAGAGCTCCCAGGAAGTTGAATGAACTCCAGTAGTTCGCCAGATGTTCTTCTAATTTACATTATTACACTAATCAGGCAAATCTCAGCACACGTGCACCAAATGGATAAACTGGAGTTTCACATGAAAAGATCCGAGACGGTTGTTTTTAATGAACAACGAGTTTATTTAAATGTTACGTGGCGACAGGAACTGGGTTCATGTTATGGCTCGTACCACTGGGCACGAGAACGAACGATCAGATGTGTAGTTGTTGGTTACGGATATGAAATGGCCGTGTCTGGGTATGAGGTGACTAACACTAATGTTTCGTACCCAGAACTAACAACTGCACATCTGATCATTTGTTCTCGTACCCAGTGGTCTGAGCCCTAACAAGAACCCAGTTCCTGCCCCGGTCTAACATTTAAATAAAGTGTTCATTAAAAACAAAACCAGAACTGAGTCTTGTAATCGAGTCCCTGAGGCTCAATGGGATTAACCTGAAGAAATAAATTAACCAGTAGAAATAAATTAACCAGTAGAAATAAATTAACCTGTAGAAATAAATTAACCTGTAGAAATAAATCAACCTGTAGAAATAAATTAACCAGTAGAAATAAATTAACCAGTAGAAATAAATTAACCAGTAGAAATAAATTAACCTGAAGAAATAAATTAACCTGTAGAAATAAATTAACCTGTAGAAATAAATTAACCAGTAGAAATAAATTAACCAGTAGAAATAAATTAACCTGTAGAAATAAAGGTTGAAAGAAAGTTCATGTGAATCTCCAGCTCATCCAGTTGGCGCACGCGTGCAGAGGTTTGCCAGATTAGTGCGATCATGTAAATGAAACGAGCAGCAGAACATCTGGAGAACATCTGGAGAACATCTGGAGTCCATTCCTTCTAACGGTCTTTGTGAGCGGGGGAACAAAGAGTCCGCTAATTTTCAGCTTTGCTAAAAATAAACAACAAAGATGGAGGAGCCCGTGTCTCTTCATACAGCAGGAAAGATTTAAAGAAACATAAAAAGTAAAAACTAAAAGAACGTGACGTAAGACAAAACAGTTTCTCATGAAACACCGATTCGAGACGAGAGCTCCAGTAAATACACGCAGCCATTAGCTTGGTTAGCTTAGCCAGCCTTCTGCTGTCGCTTCCGGTCCGGTGTAACTTCGTGCGTCTTTGTCGACCTCCCGGTTGATGTCTCGTCTCTGCAGCGCAGCTACACGGTTCAGAGCTACGTACCGACTCTGTGCAGCTTAACCTCAGGTTTCCATCGGATGTCCAGCAGCCTGCGCTGCCGCCCGAGCTCCTCCTCGTACCGCAGGATCGTCCTCTCGAACTCGGAGAAGATTTCCGCGGCCGCCGCGGTCAGTCTCTCCCCGATGAACTCCCTCAGGTGATGGACTGAAGACATGGCGGCAGAAAGCGGCTTCAATGAGGGACAAACGATACCGAAGCTTCGGAGCTGGTGTCGCGCTTCGTGAAGCAGCGATTCATGACGTGCAGCTTGGAGCGAAACACCGCCGTCACGTGACCGATGACGTCGTAGCTCCTGACGTCACGGCAGCCTCGGCGCGCTCAGCTTCAGCGAGTTCTGTTTATATATTCTGATTGACATGTATAACATTTTGTCCTTTTTAAATAAGAACCTTGTTTTGTAAACTGTTAATTTGCAAATAAAGTTGGAAAAGAAAAACAAAAAAGCTTCAGCGAGTTCATCCATTATCTTTACCCGCTTCTTCCATTTTGGGTCACCGGTGCCCATGTCCAGCAATCACTGTGCGAGGGGCGGGGGACACCTGGACATGTCTCCAGTCCATCACAGAGACACATAGAGACAAACAACCATTCACTCTCTCACACCTAGGGACAATTTAGAGTTACCAATCAGCCTAACATGCATGTTTTTGGACTGTGGGAGGAAACGAGCACCCGGAGAAAACCCACGCATGCACGGAGAGAACATGCAAACTCCACCCAGAAAGGCCCCGGACCAGGATTTGAACCAGGGACCTGCTCGCTGAGAGGCAGCAGCTCTACCAGCTGCACCGCCCTCGAGTTCAACATGTGACGAGGTCAATTATGGAAAATAGTTTGGTGATTTTCAAAGGTTTGGATCCCTTTGATCTTATTCCACCAAATAAAAGTGTTTCCAGGACCCAATCTTCATGTTCTCATAGTTTTCATTTTTAGAACAGGTTTCAAATTAGTTATTTGTAGTTGTTTCACAGTAACTGATCTATGCTGACACGCACTATAAATATATAAACGATTTGTTTTTAACGTGTCATCGTTATTTTTGTGCAAATGAACGACTTGCAGCTCGAATCGGTCACGCTCGTCAGGTTTCGGCTCTGGTCGTCCACCACTGAAGCCTTGAAGCAGCACAGTCATAAAAGCTTCACCAGCTGCACGTGCATGTCACGCTGCACGTGCACGTCACGATTAAACAGTCAGCGTGAAGCGACCCGCGGGCTCGTACGTAAAGTTTGATTCTAACCCGCAGTGATCTGGTTTAAATTGTCAGGGAGAATTTAGTTTTTAGTTTATTTGAAACATTTACAAACATGAACACGTATTAGTCAAAAGCAGGAAGTATAAGAAATGTAACAAATTCAGGAGTTATCTTACAGCCGAGATTTAAGAAATAAAAACATCAGAAAGTGTAAAAAACAAAAAGAGTGACGGTGGGTGATAATGTTTTTGTTTGTTACCAAAACATGAAGAAGATTCACTGAAACTTTAAGTTCTGGACCCAAACCAAATCAAGATGGACGCCACAGACCCTTAAAACCGCTGCAACTCAGTCACCGACAGCAGTCGAGCTAAAATGTGATGTGGTAGTAGCTGAGAGTCATTCCAAACGGAGCGTGGAAACTCATGGCAGACCCAAACGGCTACGACTATCTGGACCTGGGGGGGGGTGTTCTTTAAAGTTTCGGTGCTCGACATGCACACCACAGCTGCAGCTGCGGCTCTTGTAGAGGTCCGCTCCGCAGCAGAGCAACACGTGCGCTCAGCCCGTGTGGATTTTCATGTGAGTTTTCAGGTACGAGTTCAACGTGAAGGTTTTTCCACAGACCTCGCAGGAATACGGCCTCTCGCCCGTGTGGATCCTCATGTGCATTTTACAGTTCCCGTTGCGGCTGAAGCGCTTTCCACAGAACCTGCAGGAGAACGGCCTCTCGCCCGTGTGGCTCCGTATGTGGATGACCAAACTGTCTCGGGTGGTGTAGCGTTTGTCGCAGATGGGGCAGCAGTGCTGCAGTTTGTCGGAGGTCGGGCTCCGGACCGTGTGGACCCTCATGTGCACAATAAGTTGGGAATTCTCCGAAAAGGTCTCCCCACAAATCAGGCAGGAAAACAAAGTCTCCAACACGTCAGACCCGGTAGAACCCGACGACATGGAGTCGTCGCTGTCCGTTTCCGAGTCGCTGCGGTCGCTGTCGTCGTCCTGCAGAACCGTCACCATGATGGCGTCGGACTCCTGCTTCACACGGAGCTGATGGTCCACCTGACTGGTAGAGAGTTCCTCCTCTTCTACTTTGATACGAAATGGTTCTGGTGCCTCCTGATGGTTGCTGACCTGAGGAGATTCTGGTTCCCCATGATCTAGATCGATATGCGATGGTTCTGGTTCCTCCTCATCTACTTCGATGTGTGGAGGTTCTGACTCCACTTGCTCCACAGTGATCTCCAGAGGTTCTGGTTCCTCCTGCTCCACAGT